ATTCTAGGGGGAGTGCAACGAGAAAGGGAACCCTGCTAAAAACATGGTGACTGATTTCAAGGTGCGACAGGAGCAAAGCGCACGCAAAATAAACGTGTGTATCAACGAGCATTTTAGTGAAAACCACGAATACCTACGTTTACGCAGTTGATAAAAATACATGATAAAACAAGCGCTTGCAAACTTAGTCTCGCAATAAAATTTGCGCAGAAGAGAAATAGGCCCTATACCAAAAAGCCCTAATGCCGTAAGCATATAATTAAAAGAGTAACTTCGAAAGAAGAGGAAACACAAATTAGAAATAGACGAACTGTTCTTTTCCCATCGGACCTTTTTGGTTAGATAATATCAATTCTCATAGGCAGCTTACCAATGATCTGTGAAGTTCGATATCTTGCGCACTGAACTGATTAGAGATAGTCGGGAGGGTACGACGCATTATCACGGGCAGAATTTGTTTGAAAGATGACCATTCACAGAGTTCCGTAAGTCGTGTAAAATGCATGAATGCACTTTTTTTTTTGTTTGATTAGCTAAATTTTTAAGATTGTGTTCGTATAATTTTTCAGTCTTAAATTTTATGTGTAGATGATTCATACAAAGAAAAACTAATTCGACGAAGTTGAATGAAAAGGAACTTCACTGCCACATTGCAAATGTATTGTTATTTTGCAATATGACTATATGTCAAAAGTTAATGAGAGTAGTCATACCCCATTCTAGATGACAACAATTTACGTTGGAATAAAATACTTTGAATTATAGATTAACAATTTTACCTTGAGAGGTAAATCATATTTGTGCCGATATAAGGCTAGCGTTGCGGGGAAGTTTTGACTTATTGCAATGCTTATCATCGTAGTATGACAAGTACTATGGGAAGCTAGTATCGTCGACAAAGAGAACCGGTCTCAACGACGCGGTTATCTATACGCTATTTGTGTATACAGTGTCATTCACATAAAGGTCGAAAAGAAAAAGCCCAGAATCCTTTCTTGAGGAAAAGCTTCATCCAATTGACTTTATTCTAGAAAGCATTGTAGTTTATCGCCGACTCTGAAAAAGAATACAAGCACGTACAATTAACAACAACAAAAATATTAGTTTGTATAATAAAAAAAAAAAAAATACGTTCCGACACCGGGAATCGAACCCGGGCCTCCTGGGTGAGAGCCAGGTATCCTAACCACTAGACCATGCCGGAGGATGGAAGTCTTGTCTTTGTGGAACGATTAGATACCAACTCTTTATTTTCAAATTCCTTTCTCGCTTTCATGCGTTTCAGTGCGGCGAAAGGGAGGACACGATAAGCATGCCACTTCGTCGTCATCGGGATTAGATCAGAGGAGTGTATGGAGGAGTGTGCGCACGTATTTCTCCGCCGCCAACAAACGCGCCTGTGCCGAAAAAAAAACAACAAAAAAGTATGAGCGTCGTTCGATGGAAAGAAGGACAAGCAACCGAGCGACTCCACGGGAGAGAGGAGGCAAGGAGGAAAAATGGGAGGGTGTGTGGAGGGCAAGACGTAAACTGCATAAAAAAAAAGAAGCAGTCAAAACGACCGGTATCCCTTGAGCGAGCTGTTCCGCCGCCCTTTTTATATTGTGATGTCGGCTCCCCTTTGGAAGTTTAACCACATTGCGCCACGTTTTCAGTTCCAGATTTCGTTAGGTATCATGCGTCATTCGTAGAGTTGGATTTTCACGGGAAAGTAACCATAAAGCTGAAACCACCGGTGGACGAAGACAGCCCCTGCTTTTTTAATTATTTGTCCTGCAGCACATGTTTTTTCTCACAACCTTCTGCGATTGTAAGCAGAACGCCGGGCCGCCGCCATGTCTCTGCTAATGCGTGCAAGTATACATGGAAATACAAGCTTGACAAGGCTACGTTCAAGCGCACGCTGCACATGCTTGCATGCATGGCACCAGTTATACGCCATCTTAAAAATTCAGAAACACATTCAATTTTTTTTTTCCCAGTTGGTATAAATAGGTAATCGAACTCGCGTTTCAACTAACAATAGACACGTACGCGTTGAAGTGTGCGGGTTATTTTCTACCTATTTGTCAGATTTATCTACAAATAGTATCGAATCTAGAACAAACATTTATAACTTATTTCGAAAGAAAAATATAAGAAAACTAACGAGGTGGGAAGTTCGAATGCCCTCGACCGAACTAAAGCGAACTGACATATTCGAGAAGGATGAACTAAGTATTACATGATTGATCGCAATCGCCACTCACCCATGTAATCATAGAGGACTCATAACATCAGCACTTTAGAAGTTTTAGATTCTATTATGACTTTATTATCGGTCGACTGTATCTGGAGGAGGCAGCTCACCATGCCAGCGTTTGCTGACTGTGTCATAGACTGATAAGAAGTGTAAGAAATAAAGACGATAAAGACGAAAAATAGCCAGGACACAGTGTCTATCGAATTTATTAGTTTGCTTCTATTCCTTCTCGCTGTCATCACCCGACGCACTATAGGCAGTTTTAATGCGTTTTCTTCCCGACGTGACTCAATGTGATGCCCAGTCGTATTCCATGACTATTGAGGCGAATTCACCAAGATTAACAAAAGCCGGCTAAACCTAAACCGCCACTTTGACTCAAAGTTTGACTCGCTCTCTCTCTGAGAAGTGCGTCCTCACTGTTGCTTTCACCTCAGGCGACACAAGGACATCACGTGTACATTTCCTTTACCGCTATCTCGGGTGACGCCGTAGAGTTTATTCGGTTAACCAAGAGTTGATTCAACTTGGGCCAAGAAATCGTCTATTCTGAAGAGTATTTGGGCACCAGTGCCTGTGACATCTTACGACGCGTATAAATTGGAACTAAACAAACTTTTTTAAAATTAATCCATTCTTCGTTCGGTAGCTAACCGAGTATCGAAATGGTTTAAGAGTTGGGAGCAGGATTTTGAATGCTGAGAAGTGTGCGCAGGTCACTTTTGGGACGAAACGCAATCCTTCCCCATATCATACTATTTTATCAACGATCAGAAATACAGTATAAAGACTGACCTGAAGTATCAGGAATTACTTGGTTAGGCACCCTTTCTTTTAATCTTTACGTAACCGAGACCAAAGCTAGTCGAAATTTAGACTGCCTTATTCGAAACTTGCGTAGGGCTCCAGGACAATTATAGGAAAGTTGCTCGTTGGTAAGACCTAGCATTCAATCGTGTGTTCTGTGGGATCCGCATCAAAAATGCCTTGAAAACAATAAGTTACAAAAACTATGAAACAGTGCAGCAAGATTTGTATCGGGAAATTAGAGTAAAAACGCAAATGTAACAGAGATGATACCTATAATTGGATAGAACCCCTTATCCTTAAGGCGACAAAATTTTTAACTGAAGTTTTCATCTGTAATATCTAATGGATATGGCGGGTATAGTCAAGAGTAAGTACTTAATGTGATCAAACTATGTCTCAGGTCGCATGGACCATTTGAGGAAGATAAACGAAATATTCTGCCGTACAGATTTTAAAGAAACATTCATTTTTCCCTCAAACAATAACTGAGTTGAACGATTTGCCTAATGCGTATTTAAGGCACAATGACGACACTGGGGCATAACCGTTCTTCCACCGGCTTTCAACGCGAACGTGGAAGCGTGTAAGTTTTCCTTCGAAATAAAAAGGCTGAGATTGGCAAAACGACGGATCGTAAAAATTAAAGAAACTGAATGCTCTAGGACAATTTGTAATTTTAACAGACAAAAAAAAAAAAAAAAACAAGGACGGAATTTTTTTTTGTTTTTTTTTTGGGGGGGGGGGGGGGGGGTGGCATTTGTTTTGGAACGATTGGCGGTGACTGGGAGTTCGGCCGATTGACAAAAGTCACGACTTTGATGGCAGCTTACCCACAATGAATGTAGCTTTATAGAGATTTTTCAAAAACTTGCACCCGTGATGATAATTTGCTCACTTCTGATTGCCGTACTTGTTCGTGCGTTAAACATAGGTCATAAGCAACAAATTATGCCAGAGTCTAACAAACTACGTACTAAAATATAATAACTGCAATATTAATATTATTAATAAACAATGCGGCAATGTAGGCCCCCAATAAAAGCCCCGATTACAAAATTATGCCATTTAACCAGTACAGTATTTCTAGAATTTTAGCATATGAAAAACTGACATTGTTATCATGATAGACAAACAGTCAAACACTGGATGAGAAAATTCTGTGCGTCACGGGTTGCTTTACAAAAGACACATATACCTCTGCTGTCTGAATCGGATGCTATCTTTGGGACTTTGAAGTGAGAACAGCGTTTCTTACTTTATACGTTTTATGAACATAATCTAAACGGTTCACCCCTGGCGATATTTTGTAAAATGTGGATTGATTCTGTTATTCTTGTGCTGGGAATAATGTTAGCTGGGAATAATGTTAAATCAATTATTCGTATAAATATTCCAAAAACCAAATAAAAGGCCCGCAGTTAATTATTTCACATGGAGACTATCTGAGCGAGAAAAGGCAGTAAGAACACGCAAATATCAGCACTTATTTTTTAAACAAATGCAATATTCTATGTTACCTCTAAGGTGTATGAAAGGCTCTGTCTTTAAAGGGACATTGAACTCTCAGAAATATTTCGAAGTGCCTGGATCGAACACGTATGTCACAAAATAAACTTCACGCGAACAACTTCTTTAGCTCAATAATTACGCTGTCGGGCACATCTTGAGTTATGAAAGAATACGAAACTAACACCTATACCGAAAAATTAAATAAGAAAGGGGGTTAGTTTTGGTTTCGTTCAAGAATTAAAATGTGCCTATTGGTGTATGCATTACGCTAGACACCGGTTTTGTTTTCAGAATAAAGAGGTGACCTGCGCTGGTAACAGCCTAACTCCTCGTAGACACCTTTAAAACACTCCTACGCCGCCGCCATGTTGTTGATGCTGATGCGGCTGGTGCGACTTTCGCGCCCCCTATCAGCTAGAATTTTTTGCCACTCTCTTAAACTGTGTAAGCTCGCTCAGCGCGATTCTCTACCCATGTTTTGCGGTTTCGCATTCGACGTAATGTTTCTGATGCATGCTGCGTACCCTTTTCTGTGTTATCTTCCACTGTGAAAAATAGGGCTGGTGTGTGCCTGCCATTCAAGCGTGTCGAACGACGCTCGACACGATCTTGCGAGCAAATGACAACAACTGTTCTCCACCCTCCCAGAGATAATCCACGTAGAGTCCTTCTCAGTCATAGCCAAAAATAGTTTGTTCGGGTCGGAGTCAGTCGCGCCCATTCCTTCGCCTTGGTGCTATACTCCGTTTCACCTTCAGTCCGAGCGCAGCGGACGCTAGGAGCCATCCCAGCCAATCCAGGGCGGAGAGAGTGTCATGTGGCCTTGAGCTCCCTGCGCCGCTCTACCCAACCGGCAGGTCACGCGATTTTCTCTCGGCGCTGGATCGGCTGGAATAGCTTGTGGCGTCCACTGCGCTCAGAATGAAGTTGGAACGGAGTATAGCGTGAAAAAAGTAAGCTCCCCCCAAAACGTGCCCCAAAACGACGTCATCTTGAATTCTGTCCGATCGTCACGATGTGACTGTCGTCAATTGTGACTGTGTTATTTGAGATCTTTCTCAAATAAATTCTTTTCAGATTTCGCTGCATCGTGTCGTACGTACAATATATTGTTCGAATGTTAACACTGGCTAAATCGTATGTCGAAGCTGAAACTGGTTTGCCCCCAATCGACGGTGTGGTCTCTCTCTTCATGTCCTGTCCATCGGTAAACACGTTATTTACGAGCGTCAAAAATCCATGCCTTTCGGCGATCTTCTGTTGTAAATTATTTTCGGCAGCTAAGCGTTTTGTCGTTTGACACGCGGCTAATCGGGCGTAGTTGTCCTATTTGTTTAATCAAGCGACCGACCTGGCTATCGCGTCCCACGCACAAGCCAATATTCGCTTATGTGGGATTTACATTTAAACTGCATATAAAACGTAAAAATTGATTGATTGGTTGATTGACTGATTGAGCATCTCACGGCGCTGTGTATCTTGTCCCCGCAGCAATGACGAAGACTGGGCGCGTGTGTGGCACGTGGAGCGTCACCGCCGCTGCTACCACCAGCTCGTCTCGCACATGAACCTCGTGTGCCGGGAGGACATCTACAAGCTGAACAGGCGCAGGAGAGACGTGGCGGCGGACAAGGACCCAGGTAGGCAGCTTAGGGCTCCTATACTTGCGCTCGGACTGTTTACTATCGCGAACAAGGTGATCCACAACAGTCCTTCAGCCTTTGTTTGGCATTCCTGATTGTTAAAAAAAAAATATAGAAAGAAGTAAGAAAGAAAGAAAATATTTGGTACAAGTTGACGGAACGCGAAGCTCCGGTCGTCTTGTTTGAACTTTACGACAAATTGAGTAATAATGGATGGAATTGTGGGAAATGCAGGCGCAAAGAGAAAATCGGATTGGATGTTGCAGTTCATAATACGTGGAGCTAAGCAACTCGAAAGCACTGACATTCCTAATACCGATAGAAAAGTAAAAAAATAAAAGCAAATGGAAAAGCGGGGAAAAAAAGAAAGAAAAAAGCAGAAGTTCGTTTGCGTATTCGTTTGGCTGCGACGCACTGAAGTCTTACCATTGTCTTAGTTTTCCTCTATGTGCACATAGAGAAAAACACGAGTCACGAGTCAGAGGCGTCGGTCGTCATGACGACCGACGCCTCTGACTCGTGTCAAAAGAGAGCTAATCTAATCCGCCTAAGTTTTGCTGATTCTTTCCGTTTATTAAAGCCTCAGCAGCCATCTGGGCCCCCCCAAACCAGGCGGAAGAAATGCATGTCAACGTGGCGGAACTGTTATCATATAAACTCTGTGACAGTAAGGAGAGTTGACGTTAACGATGCTACGGTGCCTGCATGAAAGCGTCTCCGACAAGTGTGTATAAAAAAAGCGGTCCCACGATTTGCGCCTGATGACGTCATATTTTACGTATTATTATTATTATTAATATTATTATATAAGTAACAGGTGTCATGCTGTTGTGTTGACGGTTGCGATATACCGGCGGTGCTCCAGCGGCGGTGGTGTATGTGGCAAACGCCTCTTCAGCTGCAGTTCGCTCCCCCGTCTGACAATCCACGGACCACGGTAGCTCCGGCGAACAGGAGTTGGGGCGTCACGACGACAGCGGCACTCGCGTTCGCTCCTGCTTTCGTCCGCATTTCTGCGACCAGCCGCCAGGATCGCGACATCCGACAGCGCGACCTTTTGACTTTTGGGATGTCATTTTGTTGAAACTTCTGAACGACTTTTGATGTGTGGGGAGGGTGGGAGGCTAAATTTAACACACCCGTCGGAGACGCGTCCCAAAAGGCAGAACAGCGATATTCAGCCGACGCCTTTGCGCACGCGGGCTTCGTATCGTCATCGGGTGTCCTTATCGGAGGTATCGGACCGATCTACTAAAACTCCATTACCGAATTTTAGAATAGCTTAATTACGCAAAATTTTGGCACACGTAATTGCGTCGCCGTCACTGCGCATGCGTAGAACGCGATTTGGGTTTTGGATTGGCGCAGGGCGGGGGCGCTATTGCTTCGCGTCTTTTCTGAAACTGGCTACTGACCGAACGCGATGCTGCATATACGTTCCTCGTGAAGCAGTCACGAGTGCCACGACAGGAGATTACACGACGAAGTTTCAGGTGTTACTTCCCGAAATAGCGTACGAAGCTGAAAATTCAATGAATAATAACTTCATCCTTTCATCAAAGCAATGACGTGACAACAAAGCACTGCTGTCACGGCAGTGCTCTGCAAATGTCACACTTTATGGTAGAAAAAATAAATGCGTCGATAAAAAAAAAAAAAAAGTGCCGGCTCTGCTTTAAAAAAAAAAAAAAAAAAAAAAAAAAAAAACGATTTTCGAAAGGAATCGCCTCAAGTATAATTCATCAGGGTTAACCTTCACCAGCTCGCATGCACGCTTATTTAAAATTTTATTTTTCTTTGGAGCTCAACTCTTCGCGCTTGCATAACAGAAAGATACACTCTAAAAATATTCCGCTCTTGGAAGGTTTTTTGACTCGCCAAGAGCTTTTTCAGCTCGTAAAGCAGGATTTCGCCTCAAACACTATCGCCCTTTTGTGCACTAGAAAGCCTGACGTCATATCCAGAGCTTCCAGAATCTCCACTCTTATAGCGCATCTTCAGCGCCTGTCAAGGCTAGAGCCACTGATTGAGCTGCGCTTAGAGTATCGGCACTCTGTTCTCCGACGTTGTTGTGGGCCCCGCCATTTTGGGGCTTGTGCAGAGCAGACGCAACTGGCGATCGTCATGATTCAAAAGTGCGACTTCCTCAGCATTAAATTCTCTATTAGGAAGGTGATATAATATTGCTTTGCTCTGCCGCGAACTGTTTAAACATTTGTGGAGGACAGAACCCGTTACCTGTATTTCAGATAAAACTTCAGGTAACTGGCAACCATGATTTTAAGCCACAATATCGGCGAGTGACGTTACTTTGAAGGGGGATTGTTCTCCCTTCCTCCAAATATTTTGCAAGGAATGTCTGAAATTTTCGGGCATATCCTTTCGGTGCCAACAGTTTAGTTACATCTTCGGGGAAAACGAACGCTATATTCAAAATCACGGGATAAAAATTATCTAGAACTTTTTTTTGTTCTTTCTGTCAAAAATCATTTCAGCTTCCCTTCGATTAATGTTTCAGGGTGCAAAATATGGACAAGCCAAAGAACCCCAGAGTTCTTTTACGACCGGAATTTTCTTAAAGTGTAAGGGGTAGTTTAGCGCAATTGCTTCATTATGAAGAATTAAAAAAAAAAAGAAAGTAACCATAGCATAAAATTAAACAAAAAAAAAAAAGAAAAAAAGAAAAAACGACGTTCCGACACCGGGAATCGAACCCGGGCCTCCTGGGTGAGAGCCAGGTATCCTAACCACTAGACCATGCCGGAAATCAAAATTCCGCCTTCTACTGTGTCGTCAGATAAAACGTCCATAAAAAGTGGCTGATGAGATTCCCTACTGGGAGACCAATGACTGAAAAAAATTTGAACAGAGTATGGAAGTAAGATGATTTGCGGGTTTGACATATAGTCGGGGTTAACTTGTTCTGGCATCTCCGAAGAGGTTACGCCGCTCGAGCTCAGTTGTGGTCAGCGCATAATGTCCGCTACCTCGCGGACTTCATTGCTTGGACAATGTTTTGACTTCATTGCCAATAAAAGTTGTCCCCAAGTGTAGACCTTTCCAAAAAAAGGGCTCCTGGCTGGTTCCAATTTCAGTGTATGTGCGTATGGCGCGTGATCTGCTCGTTTTCCGAAGCGGCGAACATCCGCGTGCTGGGCTGAGGAGATCGCACTCTAGGCTGAGGACTTGTAAACATTGGAATGGTGTATAATCTGGGTGTTTAAGTATTAGCTTTTCTGAGCTCGTGCCTGGAATGCATACGACGGTCACGTGGTTGGTGCTACTGTGGCAACGCTACCAGATTGTCTCTGTTGCCGCACATCTGGAACTCCTTGTCTTCTCTGCCTGCAGCCCAGAAACTCCAGTCTAGGCTAGTAAGTTCTGGGCTACCGGCACAACATAGACCACGTCTAAACAGAAGAACGAGAGCAAATATTAGCGTTTCCGTACGCCTTTAAGTCCGAACACTTTTGCAATACGGAATGTTCTTTGTGACAATTTTCGTGTAGCGTTTCTCTCTGGCGTCCCAGTGTTCCTAGGCGATCCCGGCCTTTAAAGATATTAGGCGTAAAAAAAAAAAAAAAACAGAAACAAGAACAAAGCTTTACTCGATTAGGTTTTGCTGGATTTCATTGAAGGGATGCTGAAGCGAAATTTTTAGCTCACAAGACAAGGCTGGAGCAATAGGCGGGACGCTGCACAACCCCAAAACATTACTCATACCATACAGCGATATCTCTAACAGTTGGCCGCATTTTTGGAAAAGAAGCGCGTGATTGAACACGGCCGGCGAGGCCGACGGGATATGTCACGTCACGATTATCCTTCCCTCTCCTTTTCACTTTGTCCCCTCAAGCAGATGAACCGAAGTGAGGAGGAGAGAAGAGAGGCCGTTTCCTCTCATTTTCAACGGTTTCAGGAGGATCGTGACGTCACAATCCTCGCTTGATCGCGCCCTTTTTCGAAAAGTGCGGCCACCCGTTTGAGATGTCCATGAACGTGTTCCCTTGGAAGCTGTTAGAGAATACAGGTACCTTGGTATTGTCAATGCGTCAGATCTAACGTGGAACGCGCACGTCAACTACATAGTCGCCAAAGCGTCGCAGAAACTGTAGTTTTTAAGAAAAAAACTAACCTACTGCACAGCGAAAATAAAGTTAACAGCATACACAACTTTAATTATGCCAATACTAGAAAACGCTGACTTGGTATGGGACCCATACACAGCAAGAAACATACAGCAACTAGAACGAGTACAAAGACAAAAGCATTGCGTTTTGTTTATAACCGTTACGGCAGGCTGACTTCCGTCTCTCAACTGTATGCACTGGCAAGCATACCCGAACTCAAAACACGCAGGAAAATGATCGCCTTAAGTTTCTTTAAAACATAGTTAATGGCAATGTTAAACTTCCATTCGAAAAACACATGCAATGCAATACATCCAGACAGACACGCAACAAACACGAGAAAACCATTATAGTGCCACAATTTAAAAAGGACTCTTTTAAATACTCCTTCATACCACGGACTGTTCATGAATGGAATAAATTACTTCTAACCGTTATTAATCACCTAACATCTTCTTGTTTTGTCGCGGTAGTTACTAATCATATATTGTCATAGAATAAGTTTGCCTTTTGTGTCTTGAATATCTTCGAATGTTGCTGGGCTTTTTCTTCATTATTTGTATGCTCTTGTCACTTTGCGTTGTAATGGCAATTTAGCTTATTGTTGTTATGTTATTCTTTGTGTGTCTACATTGTACAGTGTACTTGCTGTACCGTGCTCACCTTGTCCTTGGACACCATCTAGGGGTCTGGCAATATTTCTAAATAAATAAATAAATAAATAAATGTCGACGTATGAGTGATGTTTCAGAGTTCATAGCTTCCAGTTCAACGCTTCTGCGGCCTTATTTTCCAAAATCGAAATTTCGGTTCAGCACCCTTGTAAGCTCAATCATCACGATCCTTCCGAAACAGGCAGCACAAAAA